AAAGTGCTTCTCTCCTGGGTCTTCTTTGACCGTCAGCTGACAGGAAGTCTTCGAAAGGCAGACCTGCTCAACATCCTGCTGTCTCTCGGCCTGTTTCTCAGTCCTGCTCAGGTTTCACTTCTTCTAAGATGTTTTTATAGAATTCTGCAAAATAATGGTTTAACACACTTAATCAAAGAAATTAAGGCAGACATAAATATTAGTATTGTAATTTTATTGTTGTTCTGTAAAATAAAATTATTATTATTATTAATAATAAATTATTATTAAATACTTTTTTTATTTTACAGACAAATAGTATGATTGAAATAGTAGTATATTCCTTTATTGATTTGTTTACTTTTACTTTTAGTTTACTAGAATTCAAATCATAAAATAAAAATTTGAAATATGATAAAACAATGAAATTATTATTTTTATTACTATATTATTATTATTACTGTTATTATTAAATGCTCATTTTTATTTTACATTACAGTAATATTGCAAAAGCATTATATTTCTTTGATTTAAATAGAATTCAAATAATAACATAATATTTTGAATAATAAAAATTATTATTATTATGAAATACTTGTTTTGTTACAGTAGTAATATTGCAGTAAATTCTTAATTGATTTAATATTGCAGTAAATTCTTAATTGATTTGCTTAATTTTTTGAAATAAAAAATATATATTTTGAATAATAAAAATTATTATTATTATGAAATACTTGTTTTGTTACAGTAGTAATATTGCAGTAAATTCTTAATTGATTTGCTTAATTTTTTGAAATAAAAAATATGAAATAAAATATTTTGAATAATTAGTATAATAATAATAATCATCATAGTCATTATCATAATCATTACTATTGTCACTGTGTATAGTTATATTGGGGGAAAATGGGTTTTCTTTCTTTTTTGATAAGTATCAATAAAATAGTTCAATATAGCAAGAATTTTATAGTGAAGTGTGTGTATTTTGTGCTTATTAGAGTATTATGTTGAGAGTTTAAGCCTATGAATAAGATCAACCAGCTCAGAGATGAATCACAAACTTTGATTCAAAATGAAAAAATATTAAAATTACGTAAGATATTAAGTCTTGTTTGTTTTTTTATGCTTGAAGAAAAATAAATTTAATCCAAAGGGAGAACAAATTTATTGTTCTGAAAAGTTTATTGACATTTCTTTCTTGTTTTAAGCATAAACCCACTCCATTTTGATACATTTTTCATATCAAACTTAATATCTTAAGTCTTATTGCTTCTCAAGTAAATGTATCTTGACTTAAGAATGTTTAGATATTTGTACTAGAAAACAAGAACTGAGGAAGAGCAATTGTTTTGCAGTGTACTGACATACATTCTTTGATTATAAGGAAAAACGATGTATTTTCAGTGTATCTGATGTCCCATCTCTCCTCAGGCGCAGGATCTGGTCAGAAAGGCTGCAGTCGGTGGGCTTTGCCTCTACAGAAATCTGTGCAGTCGCTGGTCAGACGCCGATCGGACAGACGGCAGCATCAGTGCTGAGGGTGTGTGTGTTGGAAATCATGCGATCTGATAAAGCGTGTAAACACATTTGTGACCCTGGACCACTAAACCAGTCATAAGGGTCAATTTTTTTAAATTGAGATTTATACATCATCTGAAAGCTTTTTCGTGGTTTGTTAGGATAGGAAAATATTTGGCTGAGATACAACTATTTGAAAATCTGGAATCTGAGGGTGCAAAAAAATCAAAATATTGAGAAAATCGCCTTTAAAGTTGTCCAAATGAAGTTTTTAGCAATGCATATTACTAATCAAAAATTAAGTTTTGATATATTTACGGTAGGAAATTTACAAAATATCTTCATGGAACATGATCTTTACTTAATATCCTAATGATTTTTGGCATAAAAGAAAAATGGATAATTTTGACCCATACAATGTATTTTTGGCTATTGCTACAAATATACCCCAGCGACTTAAGGCTGCTTTTGTGCTCCAGGGTCACATTTGTCTGTAGCATTATGAAAATGCCACTGTGTTCCTCTCAGGAAATAAAGCCATGTTGCCCGGCCAGGCATGCAAAGAGAGAGCTTCCGCCCGTCGCACCGGTAACACAGATCTGGTGAACTACAGAGGGAACGTCATTAACTTACCAAACCTACTGCAGACGCTGGAGAGCAGCAAAGCGGCCCAACGTGAACTGGAGAAGTGTGTCGCCGCACTGCAGTCCAGACTCGGTGAGACCAGAATGCTTTGGAGGAATAGTTCACCCAAATTTGCTGAAAATGTGCTCACCTTCGGGCCATCCACGATGTAGATGAGTTTGTTTCTTCATCAAGAAGCCAAAAGCTGTGTGTTTGTAAGAAACAAATCCATTTTCATGACGTTTTTAAACTTTAAACCATCACTTGTGGTCAAAATACAAGTCCATAATCCATAATAACGCTTCCTCCACTGAAAAAGTCCATCTCCTGTTGTCTCTAACATCAAAATCAACTCGCATACTTGTTTAGAGCTGTTTTTGCTTGTAAACAGTGCTTGATCTTTGCAGATTTCTCTCCTGATTCAGACAAGATGACTTTTTTACTGGAGAAAACTATTTTATGGATAGAGGCCAGAAGCAACGGTTTAAAGTAAAAATGTCTTAATGACAGCTTTTGGCTTCTCAAGACATTAACTGATGGACTGGAGTGCTGTGTATTATTGTGATGTTTTTATCAGCTGTTTGGACTCTCATTCTGACGGCACCCATGGAGAGCAGCAAAGCGGCCCAACGTGAACTGGAGAAGTGTGTCGCCGCACTGCAGTCCAGACTCGGTGAGACCAGAATGCTTTGGAGGAATAGTTCACCCAAATTTGCTGAAAATGTGCTCACCTTCGGGCCATCCACGATGTAGATGAGTTTGTTTCTTCATCAGATTTGGAGAAATGTAGAATTGCATCAGTGTCTCAGCAATGGATGCTCTGCAGTGAATGGGTGCCGTCAGAATGAGAGTCCAAACAGCTGATAAAAACGTCACAATAATCCACAAGTAATCCACACACATTCACTGCAGAGCATCCATTGCTGAGACACTGATGCAATGCTGCATTTCTCCAAATCTGATGAAGACACAAACTCATCTACATTTTGGATGGACTGAAGGTGAGCACATTTTCAGCAAATTTTCATATTTGGATGAACTATTCCTTTAAACCTCTTGTGGCGTAATGCTTTATTTCTGCCATAATATTCCATGGTCATTTGAGTGGTTGTGTGGTGTGTGTGATTCAGAGGCAGCAGAAGCGAGGCAGGCGTCTAATGAACAGGAGCAGGCCCATCAGAAAGAGCTGAAGAGGAAACTGGAGAAAGCCGAGACGCTCAATAAAACATACGAGAAGAGTTTGAGAGAAAACAGCGGTCAGATGATCTCGGTCATTGAGAAGATGCAGAGGATGGTTGAACAGGTGACATCCTGAAATGTTTGTTTTATATGCATTCTAGAAATAGTATTTTAATAGTTTTGTTTTATATGCATTATTTTTTTAGTCATATTTGTATCAACATACTGTGTTTTTACCGTTTAGACAACAGCCCTCACAAGTGCAGGAAAGGATAAGAAGGCGTAGAGACGCAAAAGCTCATCGGATGGTGATGCATTAGCGTTTGGACCGACGAGAATAAACAAAAAAAACCTGCAAAGTAATTAAAAACAAAAACTTTAGCCTTTGTTTTTTAGCTTTTAAAAAACTTCTAAAAAATTGTCTTCATGCACATAGATAATACAGAATTGCATTCATGGACGTTTGTATATGTTTTTATTAATAAAAATGTTTTGCTGGCTCATTTTAGAATGTATATGCATTCATATGAAACCATGTAATGTGCTTAAATATGGAAAGGAAACTTTGTGCTTTATTTATTTAGTGTTATTTAATTTTATTTGGTTATTAAATTCTGGCAGCTATGAAAGTATGATCCTTCCACACAACTGACAATCTCATAAACAGAGATGCAGATACGCAAACCTGTTCCTAGCCCTGTATAATGAAACTGTAATTATTTTTTACATGTGAATTTGTGTTTTAAATGACAGGCGTATATCTAGTCAGGTTTTAAAGGTTGAAAACAAGCATGGAACCTTTTTTTTTTTCAGATTGAACTTTATTGGAATTCAGTTTTATTGTGTACTGAAGCATTTCCTTACTGTTAGAAACCATCCACCGCCATAAACATTCTTAAGTGTTGGTATGAGGATAGTCTAGTGTTTAGTCTAGACTCAAATATAGCCAAAGTTCAATTATTTTGGAAATACTGCCTGAATTCTTCCTTGCAATTAAAAGAGTTTAAAGTCAAACCAATCCAGAAAAATCTGCGATGATGAACTATTGTGAGAAAGAATGGATTTTAATCTAAAGTCTTAAACAATTCAGGAAGGTTTGCAAACAGTAAGACCTGTTTGGGTGTAATTGGCAAAAATGTTTTTGTCTTTTTCTCAGGGACCATTTATATATTTTCTAATAGCCTGTTTTGAACAGTTGCGTGTTTAATTGTCTTCCAGCAGAATTAAGTGACTGAGTAAAGTTGAAAACATATGCCATGTAATATATTTTTTCTTTTCGTCTGCTTTTTTTGTCCACAAAATCTACATTTTGTTCAGTGACTTGGTCAGTCAATCTCCAATCGTGATGTATGAAAATGTATTTGTCATTTATTTTTGAGGAGCAGTCCCAACAGAAATAAAAGAGTTCAAAGTATACTCCGAGCTCAATCTTGAAATGTCTATTTATTTTAGTTTCATCGTGTGTTTTTTGAGCCGTTATTACAGAGGCCGCTATTTCTTCCCAACTTTAGGTGTGCGTATTTACAAACAGAACTGAGGCGAAGGCTTAGCTCATTAATAATAAACAAGGTCATTGAAGACGTTGCTCGGTGAACTTCGTGAATCGTCATGGCACGTAACCTAATTAATATTCAACAGTCAGTGTTTCGCGCTGAGATTGGCCAGTTACAGAGCCGTTGAACGTAAAAACGCCAAACGTCACTTTACGTAATTAATATTCACGAGAGACGAGTTTTCATCACTGCGTTCACAATTTCATCGCAAACACATGCCTTTTATAAACAAATATAGTGTTTTGCAGTTGTATAAAACGTCGTGTGGTGTGCTGTAAGCGCCAGGATGCAATAATACAATCTGAGAGGAAAACCGAGTCGCTTTACACGACAGGAAATTAGATATTTTGAGTGACAGCTGCGTACTTTCACTTTCATTTACCGATCGGATATCGTGCCCAGGTTCGTTTAAAACGTTTGTCGCCTAAAATCAATGAAACGTTCGATATATTGTAAAATTAGTGGTGGGGTGTTTTCCTTGTGGCGTCTAAGTATCATAAACAGTGCTCATACAATGATAACCAATTGACAAGCGCACATATCCACAAGAAACAGTCAGAGAGCTGATACTAAACCTTTTCCTCTTCAGCTTCTGTTTTTCATCATGTTCTTCGCCCAGTCTTGGTGTTTATGCTGCACTACATTTGCAGTTTTATTCTGTGGTCTTTTTGTTGGCAGCCATGCAATGACTGTCAACACAGACACAAATGCCTTGCCTTTTCCCTGGGATAAGATAAGATTGCCAGAAACAGTGAAGCCCCAGCACTATGACCTCCTGATACACCCCAACTTGACCTCCCTGACCTTCACCGGAGTTGTCCAGATTCTCATAGAGGTAGAGCAGGACACCAGAGCCATCATCCTTCACAGCAAGAACCTGCAGATCTCCAAAGCTCAGCTCTTGGGCTCCAGACATCCTCAGGATCTGCAAACCAGTGAGTTTGAAGCCTATGAACAGATAGCACTCTTTTCTGATGGCTTCACATTTGAGAAAGGAAACCACGTGGTGCATTTGGAGTTCTACGCCAACTTATCAGACAGTTTTCACGGCTTTTATAAAGGCAGATATACCACAAACAGCGGAGAGGTCAGGTAAGACACCCACAACATTGGTGCTTGAGTTTTAACTCTAGGTTAGTTGTTCAAAGGTTGTACTCGGACTGTATTTGAAGTGGCTTTGGAGATGGAAAACCTCAAAAGGATGATTTTTCTCCCTGCAGGATGATGGCATCCACTCAGTTTGAGCCGACGCATGCTCGAGCTGCCTTCCCTTGTTTTGATGAACCTGCATTTAAAGCCAACTTTACCATCCGTGTGCGCCGAGAATCCAGGCACATTTCCATATCCAACATGCCCAAGGTACACATAATTAACCATTTTATTCTGTTAAATATCTGGGTTTGATCTTTATAGTGCAGGTGAAATTGACCGGCATTCTTCATCAGTGTAATTCAACAAAAACCACACTATGAGGAAGAAAAAAAAGGAAATCTTTAACATTAATGGCTCTCACACATTACACATAAATAAACATGAGAATATATGATTTTTAAAACTGTATTTAATAACATTATTTTTCACCAAATGTAAATTTTACAAATAGTATTGTAAATATAAAAAAAAAAAATTTTCAGCAGTGGAAAAGCACTTATTCTGTGTTCTTTTCTGAAACTCAACCGGTAGAAGCATGATGATCGTAACGCCAAGATCATGGGTTCAATTCCCAGCAAAATTAACTGATAAAAAAAATTTGCATCATTGCAGTGTAAATTTCTTCAGATAAAATAGTATTGTAAATATAAAAAAAAAAAACATTTTCAGCTGTGGAAAAGCACTTATTCTGTGTTCTTTTCTGAAACTCAACCGGTAGAAGCATGATGATCGTAACGCCAAGATCATGGGTTCAATTCCCAGCAAAATTAACTGATAAAAAAAATTTGCATCATTGCAGTGTAAATTTCTTCAGATAAATGCATCTGCCGAATAAATAAATGTAAACACCCTTCTGGCATACTGTAAAAATATACATAAAAAATACATTAAAAAAATTATTCTGTGCAGCTGCCTTTAACTATGTAATAACGAGGTCAAATTGACTCAGAAACATCTAATTCATAATAGAAGTTTTGTACACTCTTTCCACAACACATCAAAGTGTCAAAACTTTGAATGCATGTTTATTATCCACAAAAAATATTGATTAAAAAAGCATAGGTAACTCAATTGATCGTAATAACAGCATATCTGTCAGTGTTTATAAATTACACAATCTGCAATGTGAATCAACAACTTCAAACAGTATTTTCTCAGTATGTATAGTTTGTTAGGATCGGACAATATTTAGCCGAGATGCAACTATTTGAAAATCTGGAATCTGAGGGTGCAAAAAAATCAAAATATTGAGAAAATCATCTTCAAAGTTGTCCAAATGAAGTTCTTAGCAGTGCATATTACTAATCAAAAATGAAGTTTTGATATATTTACAGTAGGACATTTACTAAATATCTTCATGGAACATGATCTTGATATAATATCCTAATGATTTTTGATATAAAAGAAGAATCGATTATTTTGACCCATACAATGTTTTTTTGGCTATTGCTAAAAATATACCCAAGCGACTTAAGACTGGTTTTGTGCTCCAGGGTCACATATTTTTTTTACAGACTGTATCATGTAAATGTAAACTAATGCAAGGTTATTTCTTCCAATAGCTGAGAACTGTAGAAATGGCTGACGGGCTGCTCGAGGATCAGTTTGACACGACGGTGAAGATGAGCACCTACCTGGTGGCCTTCATCATCTCCGATTTACAGTCCATCAGTAAAAAAAGCCAGCATGGAGTCGAGGCAAGTCGATCCCATTGCCCCAAAAGTATTATAAATACACTTTATAATGTACCCATACCTCATTACACTGTCCATTGACTCTTCACAACCTGAATCCCGATATAGATATCAGTGTATACTGTTCCCGAGAAGATCAGTCAGGCGGAATATGCTCTCAACACCGCCGTCACACTGCTGGACTTTTATGATGATTATTTTGACATTCCGTATCCACTTCCCAAACACGGTGAGTGTGAAAGTTCAGCAGTCACCATCTTTACTACTGTTGAGCATATATTACTATCTGCCATGAAATAACTGGCAACTGTAATCAGAATATTTCTTGGCTTTTTAGAACCTAATTCCGGCTATAATGATCTTTTGCTTGCAGATCTTGCAGCGATCCCAGATTTCCAGTCAGGTGCTATGGAGAATTGGGGCCTGTCGACTTACAGAGAGTCCGGTTTGCTCTTTGACCCTGAGAAATCTTCTTCCTCGGACAAACTGGGAATCACTAAAGTCATTGCCCATGAACTAGCCCATCAGGTTGATATTTCTATTACTAATTCAATCTAAGTAATGAATAATGAACGGCCAGTCGGCCTTTATCACAAAATAAATTATTCTGCTTGCTGGCTTACTGTTCGACTACTTTAAACAAATGAATATAATGTGTATAAAATGTATATGAAATATATATTATTTTATATACATTTTATAAACACTGCCATTCAAAAGTTTGGGATCAGTAAAAAAAAATTGTTTTTTTAAAGAAGTCTCTTATGCTCATCAAAGCTACATCTACTTGATCAAAAATACTAAAAAACAGTAATATTGAGAAATATTATTACAACTTTAAATAATGATGTTCTGTACTAATATACTTTAAAATATTATTTATTTCTGTGATGCGCAGCTGTATTTTCAGCATCAGTACTGCAGTCTTCAGTGTCACATGATCTTCAGAAATCATTCTAATATGCTGATTTATTATCAGTGTTGGAAAAAGTGCTGCTTAATATTTCTTTGGAAGCTGTGACAGTTTTTCAGAATTCTTTGATGAATAAAAGAACAGCATTTATTAAAAACAGAAACCTTTTCTAACAGTTTAAGTCTTTACGCTTTTTTTTAATCAATTTAACACATCCTTGATGAATAAAGGTATTATTTCTTTTAAAAAAAGATACTTTTTTTTTACTGACCCCAAATTTTTGTATATTGTGACAAAAATGATGCAGTGATGCAAAATGGTATTATTATAGAAAGAGAGCTAAATGATATGTGACATGAAACCAGCATAGAGATGTATAAAGTCTGTTGAATCTGATGTCCAGTGGTTTGGAAACCTGGTCACGATGCAGTGGTGGAACGACCTGTGGTTAAACGAGGGCTTTGCCAAGTTCATGGAGTATGTGTCCGTCAACATCACCCACCCTGAGCTGCAAGTGGTGAGAGCGATTAATACAGCTAAGAGTTGAGATTGTGATGCCATGTAATCATAATTGGCATGACTGATCTGATTTCGAGGGCCTCTATTTTAGGATGATTATTTCCTGGAGAAGTGCTTCACTGCTATGTCAGTGGACTCTTTAACCTCCTCACACCCCATTTCCACTCCAGTGGAGAATCCTGCGGAGATCAGCGAGATGTTTGATGACGTTTCCTACCGGAAGGTACACAAGCAGTTTATATCTCTCTAGAATCCTTATAGTTGACTTTCCCTGATTAATATTGTGTTGCAGGACAGTTTGACCCACATTAGATATTTAAATGGCTTGAGACACTGGTTAAACTATTTATTTCTTCTTGAAATTTGGTGACTTTTTCCCATTTTGGGTCATTAATGTGCACGCAAAGTTTCCACACATAGATGTGTTTTGGAAAGTCTGTATGAATTTTGGTGACTTCAGTGGTGTTAGGGTTCAGATTTAACCCAATTTGAATCTAGAAAACCTTTATTGACTGCCTTTTTTATGTCGGGTTCTCAAACCCTTATGAGGGTAAAAGTTTCTAACACTTATTTTCAATGCTGCAATAGACTACTAACTGAGATCCAAAAAACTAACAACCAGTTTTTGACTGTGAAACTCAAATATATAAATGTACAGCAAATTCTTTTTTTGTTTATAAAGTGTCGATTTTTGGCAATTGCATGGAAACCAATGGCAGTCAGTTATCTCCAACACAAATGGAGTACCCATATTTTCAACACAAAAGAAGGGTTAATTTGTTTTAACATATCTACTGTTGTTCTTCACAAACTCTGAAGGGTGCGTGTATCCTGAACATGTTGAGGGATTTCCTGACGCCAGAGGCTTTCAAGTACGGTATTATACACTACCTGAAGACACACAGCTACCAGAACACAGTGAACGCTCACCTCTGGGAAAGTCTTACCAATGCAAGTTACCACAGTCGGCTCCTGTGCATGTTCTTCAGTCCTTGAAGTAATTTAATCGATTGCTCTAGAGGCCAAATGCATTTCAATCTTTTCAGATCTGCACTTCTGATGAATTGGATTCAGGGAGACTAAAACTCGATGGATTCTGTTCCAAAAGCAGGGCTGAATCTCCAGCCTCTGTGAGTGCTGCTATAAATCAATTTACATTTAATTATAATATTTACATTTTGTTAATCTATTGTAATATTTTATTGGTTTTTATTATTTAATTAAATGGTCTATATTTACGATAAGTTAACCTCTTATATTTCTTGACTAAAAATGTGTCATTAATATTAGAAATAAACCAAATAACTGATTAAATGATAAAAACCTGTTCTAGCAGAAATGGTTCATGGAGGACAGTGTTGATGTTCAAGCCATTATGGACACCTGGACGCTGCAGGAGGGCTTTCCTTTAATCACTGTGGAGGTCAAAGGTCAAGAGGTCACCCTCAAACAGGAGCGCTTCCTTAGAGAAGCAAACTCTTCGAAGACTTCAAAGTACGTACTGGCTATGGAATACTAAACTACTGTTTAATGCGTACTATGCATACTATACATTTAAAAAAAATAGTATGTGCAAAAGTAAATGTGTCATACTGTATTATGCTTTTAAAATTGTATGTTATGGCATTCTGATCAAATAAGAAGATAATGAAAGATAATCATAGATGATATTACTTCTGTTTTTTCAGTTCAGTGCATTGCATTGTGGCATACAAAGATATTTTAGTATTATTTGTATACTTTAGTATTGTTTAGTAATATTTTGAATTACAGTATCTTTTTATTAGTTTATTTGATCAGCCTCTTAGTTTTAGAGTAAGTTTTTTTATATATATTTTTTTATAGGTTTATTTATTTTTATTATTTTATTTACTTTAGGTTTAAGTAGTTCATCTAATATTGATATTTTAATTTCAGCTTTATTTCAGTCACCAAAAAAACTATTTTTAATAGTTTTAGATTTTGTTAACAATAACAACAGTAGTTTTTATGAAAACAGAAAATGTGCCTGCATGCTGCAGAAATAGTAAATATAGTAAGCTAGTATGCTACTCTCAATATAGCCTTAATGTTATTCACTCAAAGCAATAATTGATTTTTTTAATATTTTGTATTTCATTTCTCACAGTACATCAAGCTTCCTGTGGCAGGTTCCTCTGACTTACATCACCAGTCACAGTAGTGCAGTGCAGCGTTTCTTGCTGAAAAGTGAAAAAGGTGTGTCTGAGCTATTAGATATTAAACCAAACCAACACATTTACCTTCTGTTATACTGAAATCTGACCATGTGTCTGCAGATGTGTTGTACCTGCCAAAGAAGGTGGACTGGATTAAATTTAACGTGGACCTGCGGGGGTATTATATTGTACATTATAAGTCAGGAGGCTGGGACGCTTTGATCAACCAACTCCAGCAAAACCACAGTGTGTTCAGCAGCAACGACAGAGCCAGTCTGATCCACGACATCTTTCAGCTGGTCAGGTGAGGAACTGAGCTGGTGTTCCTTAAAGAAATAGTTCACCAAAAATGAAAATTTGCTGAAAATGTGCTCACCCTCAGGCCATACAATATGTAGATGAGTTTGTTTCATCATGGGAACAGATTTGGAGAAATTTAGCATCACTTGCACACCAATGGATGCTCTGCAGTGAATGGGTGCCGTCAGAACGAGAGTCCAAACAGCTGATAAAAACATCACAATAATCCACAAGTAACCCACACCACTCCAGTCCATCAATTAATGTCTTGTGACGTGAAAAGCTGCGTGTTTGTAAGAAACAAATCCGTCATTAAGAAGTTTTAACATTTAACTCTCGCTTCTGGCCAAAATACGAGTCTATAATCCATAATAACGCATCCACCAGTGGTGGAGTCCAAAGTCCATCTGCTGCTGTCCTCTCACATCAAAATCTGTTTTAGACTGTTTTGGCTTGTAAACAGTGCTTGTTTTGTACATATTTCTCTCCATAAGACTTTTTCACTGGAGGAAGCTTTATTATGGATTATGAACTCATATTTTAGCCAAAAGCAGCGGTTTACAGTCAAAATGTCTTGATGGATTTGTTTCTTACAAACATGCAGCTTTTCATTTCTCCAGATGTTAACTGATGGACTGGAGTGGTGTGGATTATTGTGATTAATCAGCTGTTTGGACTCTCATTCTGACGGCACCCATTCACTGCAGAGGATCCATTGGTGAGCAAGTGATGCAATGCTACATTTCTCCAAATCTGATGAAGAAACAAACTCATCTACAAAAACTCAACTAAATCAAGTGTCATGAGATGCAGAAACACACTTTTCAAGCAAATCATTTGGCGAAAAGAAGTTTATGACATCATACATTTACTAAAAATCACCAAAACGTCTGCTGATTCAAAGCTAGTAAGACTTCAAATATGGAGAAAAGCAAAAGATCCAGCAGCATTTGAGCACAAACAATACTTGATTTGATTTGATTTGACTTGATTTAAGTCTTGTTACAGTTTATTTTTGTTCTTAATCAAATTTATTTGTCTTTCCTTCAGCATTGAGAAAATCCCACTGGACAAAGCTCTGAATCTGAGTTTGTACCTCAGTAAAGAGTCGGAGATCATGCCGGTGACGCAGGGCTTTAATGAGCTGGTGCCGCTTTACAAACTCATGGAGAAGAGAAACATGGAGGAACTGGAGAACCAGCTGAAGGTTGTGCTTGCAAACATGAATAAGTCTAGTTTAAAGATGATATGTGCAATAGTTTGGATGCTGAGTTACTTTCTAGTGTCTCAGTTTAGATAATACATTTAAAATCTCATGGTGACCTTTTCTAAAGTAGCTGGCCAGGGTAAGACAGCAACATCTGAATATTCATTATATTTATAAGGACCTGAGATTTCTGCAGTGCAAAAAACAGAGACTGAATCACAGAATCCAGTCAAAAAATGGAAGTTGCTTTATAATGTAGAATGTCTCAGAATTTGGCCAAATCTGGATCAAATGAAGGGCTGTTCAAATAATCATTAAAGGGGTCATATGATGCTGCTAAAAAGAACATTATTTTGTGTATTTGGTGTAATGAAATGTGTTTATGCAGTTTAAAGTAAAAAAAACACATTATTTTCCACATACTGTACATTATTGTTTCTCCTCTATGCCCCGCCTTTTTGAAACGCGTCGATTTTTACAAAACTTTGGAAGACCAAACAAAGTAGTTTCGCTTTCACAACGAAGCACACAGCGTCTTCACGACATGGCGACAGCGGCAACAACAATACTACAGCGAGAATAAAAGTTACGCCTTCTTTTTTTGCGTGAACATTTGGGCGGTGTTATGCAAATCTTCCCACATAGTGACGTAGATATGTGGGGCGTGTTAGAACGAGGCGTTTTAGGTAGGTGTGGCTGACTCTGAACTTTTATAAAGAATATCTCTTTGGTTTTGAGACTTTAGTCTTTGCAACTTTACAGATCTTCTTTATGCACGAAGAGCTTGTAACACTCCAAAGAGAAAGGAAAAATTGAAATCGCATCATATGACCCCTTTAATAAAAAATTCGGTCAAAGACACACAGAAACTCAAAGGTCTTTACTACAACCTGACAAATAAAAGTTTGATTTAATTTCAAGACATTTTACAAATATATTACTATTGTACAGTAGAATGTACTTATCATAATAATTATAATAATACAGTTTATTAAAGCAGTTTATCTATCCATGTTTTGTGCTGCACTTTGTTTGCCAAAAAAATTAAAGGATTAGCGATTAATTAAATTGTTAAAGTTATATTCATTCATTTGATTACCACCATCTTTATGAATTAGGCTTATTAAACATCCTTTTTGATCAGTAAAAAATAATTCATAAAAAATATACATAAACAGAATCCAGAAAAAATGAAATGTAAAAGACATTCTTATTTATTATTAAAATGTAATTAAACAAGAATTTGGTGAAACATTTAATGCATTTTGGGAAAAATAAAATATATTTAGACATGCTGTTGTTGATTTGCTGCTTTAACAGGGTCATTTAGTGAAGTTATTCAAGACGCTGATTGACCGCCAGAGCTGGTCTGATGACGGGTCTGTGTCCGAGCGGATGCTCAGGAACTATCTGCTGTTGTTTGCCTGCATCCGCCGTTACCCATCCTGCATCAGCACCGCCACGCGACTCTTCCAGCAGTGGAAGGAATCCGATGGCAAAATGTGGTGAGAGTTCATTTGATTCATGTATCATCCACATTTTACATACTGCATTCTATTTGCATTCATCCAAACATGTGTTGTTTGCTTCAGGCTGCCCACTGACGTCAGTTTGGTGGTCTACACTGAAGGGGCGCGTACAGACGAAGGCTGGGACTTCCTGTTGGAGAAATACAAGCGATCCGTCTCGCCATCGGAGAAGTGGATAATTAAAGCCGCCCTCTCGTACAGTCCATTAGCTCACAAGCTTCAGTGGTGAGTCTGCATTCATGAAGCAACTGAGACGTCACATGACATTTTCATAGTTCACACAAACCTGACATCGATGATGACGCATGAATCATTAAGGAAGGTCAAACTGTCTGGCGTATTTATCCGAAAAGATCTTCTCTTGAAAGTCGTCATTAATATGCAAAAGCATGATTCATTTCTCACCTTTTCAATCCTGTGTGTCAGTAATAACGATCTTGAGTCATTTAAACCTGCTCTAGGATGTGTTTTGCTTTCTCGTTCTGTCTAGGCTTTTGGAAAGAACCATTGAAGGAGAGATCATAAAAACTCAAGACCTGCCGTCGCTGGTCATCAGCGTCAGTAAAAACCCAAAAGGTTTCAAACTCGCCTGGGACTTCTTGAAAACCAGTCTTCTCGCGGTTGAAACACCGATTGAGTGATTACATTACGATTCTATAACTTTCGGTAAGTGTCTCTTGTTCTTTCAGAATAGTTTGTGATGTTCATTCATTTTTATTTCGCGTTGGAAAGAGTAATAAAGAGGAGATGATCAGGAACCGTGGAACTGAGGCACATTAAAGCGCGCCAAAACGGCATTTATTGTTCGATTTTCTTTATGAAGTCGAGAATTTTAAAGCGCAGACTTTGTTTCATATCAAAAGTAACACATTTTATTTACTATGAAGATCAAATTCGAAGGTATACATGTTCATTTCCGGTTGCCGAAATTAGGTGCATCACTAAATGAAACACTAAACTTGAACTTTGTGACACCCAGGCATTGTTTTGATGGCTAAAATGAAAGAAACTGGTTTTAATAGCGTTTTGTGGATTTTACTGACATCCTTTCAGAAACCACAAACACTTAGTAGCCTATACTAATAAATGTATGGTGACATTTATTATGCCATTAAAAATGACTTTATTAATAGTTGTCAAAAACATTGAAAAGAAATCAAACATTTAAATTACATATTTACACACCAGCAAGTAAAAAGTTTTTAAAATGGCATAAATACAGCTTAAAAGGCTAACTATTAAAGGCTGTCCGTAACCTGTAACTGATCACAGCTTGATTTATACAGAAATAACTGGTTATCAAGAGTTTAAACCACCCACCTGGTAAAATTATTTGGCACAGTATTTTAACCACTAAGAAATCTCTGAATAACTATTTAAAAAAAAACACTTTATAAAACAAACACGCTGTACTGAAACGCCAACAAGTTCATGTTAAATCTGTAACAGCTAAATGGAGATTTGCAACCAAAAAAAACTACAGAAATGAGGATTTTGCCATTAGTTAAACCTGATTTTAAAACTGGTTCATGAAGGATTCTGGGAAAATATTGCACTGTGCAATACGAATCAGAATGCCTTGAATATTTACATGCATTATCAATCAAATGTCCAGAAAGCAACACAGCCCAGCTCACGAATGGCAATGACCCACACATCTGGACATCTGATTAGAGCTCTACTCTAATGTGATGGAAAGGATCTTCAGGATCTCCGGTCGTAATCGCTGACCATTCTTTTGATGTGGCTTAGTTTGGCCTTCAGGTGCTTGCAGCGCTTCTTCTTCACCTGGTATTCGCCGCTCTGCAGAGACAGTGGGAAATACATCAGATAACATCCTCCACTGTTGTCCGCTTCTGTGAGAAATCTTGGATTCAGCTCATTCTTACCCTCTTTTTGTCTTTCAGCGCGTTGTACTCGTCCATGGCGTCCTGTTACGAGAGAATGACTGAAGTCAGCAACAAGCGCAGTGACTCAAACGTTTTCCCATGCTAACGTTAATTATTTACAGATAATACAGCGTAACCAACAGGAACGTTCCACTGTAAGGCAAACAAGTCATGCACCATTGGGTAAATCTTACAAAACTCAAGTCATATTTCAACTCGAAAAGAAAAAAAATGGGGAAATTTTTTTTTAATTGTATTTATTTGAATTGACATTTATATTTTATAATCGTTAACATTAGCATAATGAGAGAAAAAAACAAATCATTAATAATTTAAATAAGTAATATTAAATAAGCTATACAAGTTATCATTATTAAATTCATGTATTAGCAATAATAATAATAAGAATTAATGATAATTATAATTCAATCTAAAAGACTTGTATTTAATTAAGTCATGTGATGCTGCTAAAAAGAACATTATTTTGTGTATTTGGTGTAATGAAATGTGTTTATGCGGTTTAATGTTCAAAAAACACATTATTTTGTTCATTGGTCAAGAAAAAAAACTAAACCAAAACAAATTTTATTTAATAATCAAGGCAGTTTTATATCAGCATTTTAATGATATGTTTCGATTCCAATTTGTTGTTGAAATATAAACGTGGCTGTAATAAAAAAAACTACAATAATAAAGAATTAAAATTTTTAGGTAAAATATCCCTTTAAATTTGCTGAGGTAACGTTAAGTTAAATGTACACACGCTGTTTTATTGACGTCTTCTCGCGGTTGAAACACCGATTGAGTGATTACATTACGATTCTATACCTTTCGGTAAGTGTCTCTTGTTCTTTCAGAATAGTTTGTGATGTTCATTCATTTTTATTTCGCGTTGGAAAGAGTAATAAAGAGGAGATGATCAGGAACCGTGGAACTGAGGCAGATTAAAGCGCGCCAAAACGGCATTTATTGTTCGATTTTCTTTATGAAGTCGAGAATTTTAAAGCGCAGACTTTGTTTCATATCAAAAGTAACACATTTTATTTACTATGAAGATCAAATTCGAAGGTATACATGTTCATTTCCGGTTGCCGAATAATAAATAAATAATTAAATAATAATAATAATATAAAATTGTCTTTCAGTACTTACTAGTTCTCAGTAATGAGAATTTACATTTTTATTAAATATTAATCATTATTTCTTGCACTCTATGCTAATTAAAAAAATTATAATATTAATAATAAAAATTAAAATTTTATAATGAGATATAATGAGAATATTCCAGTACTTATGAATTCTCAGTAATGAGAATTAATGAGAGTCATCGCCGAATCTTGACGACTTTTCATACCAGGAACTGAGGACTGCCCTCCTGAAGATCATCGAGCTCCCGGTCCACTTCAGCCAGGCGCTTGTTGATCTGGTCCATTTCTGCCTGGAGCTCCTTGTACTCCTGATGGTCTTTGTCAAACAGGCGTTTGTAATCATCTCTCTCTTCATTATTAATAATGGGAGGGAATTCACTGGAAAACAGAAGCACTTCCATCTCATCTGGAACGCCAGTGAACATTATGAACTCAGAGCTGGATTTCAGCGGTGAGCTCACCTGGAGAAGTCATCGTCGTCCAGCTCATCTCCAGAGGAGGCGTAGTCCGTGTCGTGATCCCGTCTGTCGGCGGTTCGCGGGCGTCCAGCGCGCCGTTTCTTGGGCCGTCCTGCAGAGCTGTTCATCTCCGATCCGCTGCTCAGCGGGACTGAACTACGGACAGGCACCTCGCGCACCATCTCCCTGAACAATCAATTTGACCAATCAATCATGCAAACTTCAAATGCACATAAAGACACCAGCAATTTGCTCAGTCATAACCACAACGCAGGACAGATTACAGGAGACGTTGTTTTCATTCCTCCACAGTGTCGTCATTTGTTTCTGCTATCTGTGCTACTTCTGAAAAGCACTACATGAGATTTAGTACGCATGCACAGCATTTCCAGAAATGATTCAGACCCGAGAGGAACACAGAAACTAGGAAGTGCAGTGAAAGAATGAGAAAATGTCCTTTATCTCACGCAACATCTGATGAGGCTTTATACTTTATTTTGGATGTGATTAATCGCGATTAATCGTTTGACACTAAAAAATATACACATTTTTTCAAATGTTTTACTTTATATTTTTCAAAATAATTTGTATATTTTTAAATTCAAATTAACACATCATAATCATGTCTTGTACTGTATTTATGCAAATGTTAATAATAATAATAGTAATAATAATGTTGTACCTCAATACAGAATAATAAATAAATGTAGATAGATTTGAAAAAAATTTAATTATATTTTGAAATTCAAATTTACACATCAATCATATTTCTTCTAGTGTTATGCTATTTTTTAATAATATTAATACGTTTTTTAATAATAATAATAATAGTTCTTATTAAAATAGATATGTAGTAATTTTTATAATAATAATAATAATACAATTCCAGTATATAGATACACTTAGTACACTGTCAGAACACACAGATCTGCTTTCAACACTTTTAAAACGTCAGAATGAACAATCAGTCCTAAAATCAGACTTTTAAAAACAGATCAAAATCAGATGCAGTGTGTTGAAAGCCAAACTCTCAGTCACACGATGGCTGTACTCACACAGGACTCTCACTGTGGGGAGGTTTGTCATAGTTTGTGCTGTTGTCATCTAGATCATTTCTAGACCCTCCAAACTTGATGGGATAGTCCGCCAGCAGCGGCTCAGGCGCTCCGTTCACATTATTCACCTGAGACAGACAGCATTAAAATATGTTTGCATTGGGACATTATTGACAGAACAATTCTCGTTATTCTCATTATTTTAATGTGAAAATAAAATGCAAAATATAGATAAATAATAAAAAATTTAATCTGTTAAAATAAATAAATTAAAAATCAGTCCATAATATTTATTTATTTATTTAAAATAGGTTACATTAAACCTGCACTTTACAAATTGCATTATGTTCCCTTTATTACAGTAATAAAAAAATATATACATTATTTATATCATCAGGAGGATTTCTTAAGAATCACGAAGTGTCATAAGTTTACATTTCTGGACAGTTTTTGTGAGATTCACTCAAACGGCGCTGTCAGTTTTCAGTGCTTCAGGTGAATTCATTGGAGCAAACATGTTTCAAAGCGTCTATCCTGATGGAGTCAACAAATACTATAGAAGAATCTTCTCCACACATCTTTTCTAGCTACTTTTCTAGAATCACAGTCTGATTTAACATGAAGCGCAGTCCCAAAAACACATCCCTTTTGCTGCACATAGGTTTGAGTTTCTGGTTGAACCAGTTCGCCTTGAGCATTAAACAAAATAAACACACGAGCATCTATGTCTGCTTAGAAACCCAAATGTCTTGATGTTCTATTCAGATCCAACATTCATCTTAAAATCTTAAAATATCAGATTTAAAACATTATACATCTGTATGCCATAAAAAGCTATTTATTTACATTCATCCACTGAATATCTACCAAAATGGCCCAAAATAAAAAAAAAAACTAAAAAGATAGACTTAAAAACAGACTTTTTGCATAAAGAAAAGTCTCTCTTTAGGACCATTAACATGTCTAGCACATATATGTGAGTGAAACTGTCACAACAAACCACACCCAGAAACCAACGACAAGCGCTTCCCTCCCCCAACCACCATCACACACACACACACACACACACACAAACAGGTCTTTCCACCTTC